TGGTGTGTGCCAACAACGCCCGGAATAAATTTAGTACTTTTAAACACACTAATTTCAAGTAAGTGAGAAATCATTCAGGGATCAGTACTACAAACTGGTTATATTGTAGGGAGTATATATAAAATTTCCGAAATTGGCTATGAGCATTGACTTATCTTTAACGTAGTTCAGCATTAAAGAATATTTTGTTTTCCCTAAGTTAATGTGTCCTTGAAATTGTGTTTATGTAGCAGTCTGTGCAGAAGAGAGCGATTTCCTTGTTTGCAGGACAAATTATGGAAATAACACTAAAGAAGTTTGCTGTGTAAATGAAGAATTTTTAGTGTTTTCAAAAATATCACATGTAGACAGCATACTTGTTGGGTTCTATCCATAAAAAGCTTAGAAACCAGATGTTTACTCACTTTATTATCACATCTATAAAGTGATTAAGTTTTTTAAAATGAGGGTTTCCCCCTAAACCTGAGCTGTTATGGCCCTTCAGTCTGCATTGCTACTCATCGCTATTCACCCATCAATTACATTTCTCTTTTATTTCAGTTGTAGGAGTGATAAAAATGTGCATGTCCTTTTTGTTTTCTTTTTTTCTGATCTGTGATTTCCTTGTGTGCACTTGGCAGTGGTTACTGGCTCCCAAGTTGTTATGCACATTTGTAACACCTATTCTCCATTTTTAGATGTTTGTCTTCACATTCCAGATGCTTAGATTTTTAAAGTGACTTGCTACTTGCAATGGCTTTTTCATTAATTAGTGTTTAAAAGTAGGCTTAGCATTAAACACAGTGTATGAAAACCTGTATTTTGAATACCATCATCGATAAGTTTAGCTTGTTAAGAAGTTTATCCCACTTAATTCAAGTTAGTTTAATCAAAACTCTTATAACTTGACACTCTCACAGTCCACTTAAAGGAAGCACATGACTTAACCATTTGCCATTGTAATCCCCCATTCTTTATGGATGAACTTAAATACACAATCATAATATAATATAATATAATATAATATAACATAATATGTACAGTAAACAACCAGTCTTCTCTTACAGAAGATGATACACCATGGTTTACATTTGACAAAGCTTTATATACATCTTTTTATATGTATACATGTAAAGACTTATATATGTACATACACACATTTGTATATATATATATATCCTTTATATAAAAATATGCATATACATTGATTTTTTACAAGAATGAAAATTCTAATTTTCATACAACATATAAATGAATATGCTTATAACAATTCATATACCACCATTCTAAATGGATTATTTTAATTCTTCTTACAGTATTGCTTTATATTTAGATACAATTCTGATGGGGGATGTCCTGTCTGTATGCTGTGAATATATGCTTCTTTTATTGGTTTAATAAAACACTGATTGGCAAATAGCCAGGCAGAAAATATAGGCAGGGGTAACAAACAAAGAGATTTCTGGGAAAGGCAAAATGCAGAGAGGAGCCACTAGAGAGATGCCAAGTAGCTGCTGGGAAGATAGGATCCCGGGCATTCTCTGGTAAGATAAGGCCATGTAGAATTACATAGATTAGCATTTATGGGAAATTAATTAAGAGAGAGCTAGCCAGTAGAAGCCTAAGCCATAGACCAAACAGTTTATAATTAATATAATTCTGTGTGTTTATTTGGATTTAAATGGCCATAGGATCAGGTGGGACAAAAACTCCACCGACACAATTCATTATATAAAAGCTACACACACCCAGTTATAGTATAATGAATCTCTGGGCTTAAAATCTGTAAATTGCAAATTTCATTTAGGGTTCAGATGTCTGCAAATCATTCCTTCAGATGTACTGAAATTATTGATCCAATAGCATCTTTTAGTATTTTCCACACAAAGGACTAGTGTCCTCTCTTGTAAAGATTGAATCCTTGCTGTATCTTTGTGTCTTTTGCACTTAACTATATATCTATCCCCCAAAGAGAAGAGTCATCTCTAATTATTCTTGTTAGCCAACTGAATTGTGTAACTTCTGCCCAGAAACACTTCATGAACAATAACTTGAATTTGTGTGTGTGTGTGTGTGTGTGTGTGTGTGTGTGTGTGTATTCTTGTCATTGTTCTGAAAGAGTAAGCACTTCTGACCCATGATTCCTGGAGGAGGATGAGAAATGTTGAAGCACTTGAAGGCAAGCTGAACTGCTCCTGTGTTCCTATGGGATGCTAGTCTTGTGAATGATATCTGGTCCACGAAGGCAAATCCAGCTAAGATCGACCTGAGCCCAGAAGAAATACACCACACTGCTTCATGACTGCAGGGCCAACAATAAATGGCTATTCTTTTAAGCTACAAAGTTTTCTCTAATGTCTCATCTTAAGACTTCCTTACTTTTTAATGCTATTTGACATTTTTATATTTCTGTGCTTCTCAACACTTCTGGTAGTTTAATATTCTTTCTATATGTACTTTCTATATACAAACACACAAATATGCATGCATTCCCTTTTATGTTACCTTTTCTATAATGTCCTTGATATCTTTCTTATTTGTTTTCACTTATCATTCCCAAAGACTCTACATATGTTTTTTTCTTCTGGTCTCATTATTTCATGTTGTATAATTCTGTCCTGCTGTATAACATAGTTCTTCTATACCTCTATAAGAAGCACACAACATAAAATAAACTCATCTGTATTGCACTAAAAGCTTAATTAATTACTGTCATAAAACACTCTATTGGAATATTATTTCACAATATAGACATCTTTGTCTTCCCTTAAATATTATCTCCATTTCCAACTGGCCAATGTCACAATCTCACTGTAAACATTGTTTTTAAACCCTCCCATACAATATTATGAGAATTATTTGCATAGCTAGTATAAATGAGTGCCACCTGGCAGATGTCTCTAAACTTTGACATTAATAAATTCTACCTGTCTGTTGGACTGAATGCATTTCTGCATTATTTTATGGCTACAACCCTATAGGAGCCAGAGAGTGAAATGCGGTGTTTTGAGTAGGCATGGCCCCCATAGATTCATGTGTTTGAATGCTTGGCCAATAGGGAGTGACATTATTAGGAGATATAACCTTGTTTGGGGAAGTATGCCACTATGGGGACAGGCTTTTAGATCTTATGTAATCAAGCAATGCCCAGTGTGGCACATAGTCCCTGCTGCCTGAGGATTAAGACAAAGAACTCTCAGCTTCTCTGATACTGTCTCTACCTGCATGCTGCCATGCTTCTTGCCAAGATGATAATGAACTAAAACTCTGAAATATAAGCGAACCACTATTGAATTTTTTTTTTTATTTAAGAGTTGCAGTGGTCATGGTATCTATTCACAGCAATAGAAACATAAACTAAAATAATAAGAAGCAAAGGTACTATTCTTGTTGGATATATTTGATGGGCACACTTGGTATGCTATGAAGTCTTAAGGATAAGCAATGTACTTAAATATTGTTTTTTCGCTACCCTTTAACTCTGTGCTTGTAAACTTTGAATACTTTGTGTTTGGTCTCCATAATATGATTACATCAACAAGCATATAAAACCTCAGAAACATAAAAGAAAATAAACTTATCTTAATTTTCTAGAAGTAGACAATTTAAATTTGATGTTTTATGCAAAGGTTTAAAAGCTCTTCTGTTTCCCTCCAGAAATAAATGTTACATGTTTGGGAATTTTAGGCAATGCTAATGGAAAGGAATACTTGGATGGATGCTTATAATAAAGCAAACATTTATCTCTTAATCTAGCTTTTTTCTATTTAAATGAAATTTCACATTAAAAAGTGATTATCCAGGCCATAGAAATTGATGGTAAGATTGTATTATGAAATGTTCCCCTGGATTTTAAGTGTATAGCCCCGAGCCACTGTTCATCTATTGCCATTCTGAACTGTGAGTGATATCATCACCTCCAGGATATTTTGATGCATCATTAGGCAACTCTGATTTGATTGATACTTGTTCAAATGGTAGAATTTTGTAATATAAGCCTATTAATTTGTATTTTAATATAATAGAACTTCATTTAAGTGAAGCTGTTGCTTCCTAAAATGCCTATTTTCAAGCATATGATGATTTGGTTTTATATACAATAGATTGCTTCTGAGTTTCCAGCTTGAGATGTATAATGGAGCATTTTGTCAATATATATATTGACAAAAACTGGTACCCAACAGATTATCAGTAATGATAATTACCATTGTAAGAGTGCATTTCATCTAAAAGGTGTGTGTGTGTGTGTTTGTGTGCATGTTCATGTGCATGTGCGTGAGAGAGAGAGAGAGAGAGAGAATGAAAATATGCAGTAGGGATAAAAGGTGTTGAAAACTGATAACATCAGGATGCTTCACATGATAATTATTTGAAAAATTTCAGCATCTAGGTGGTCTAATCTTAAATTCTTGTATTGAAGTTTATTTAATAAACTTTTGCTATTTTTCAATGTATTCCCTATCAATACTTGCCTAACATTATGTTGTATCACCATTTATTAAGAATTAAAAATAACTATATTCAATAACTCCACAAACAACAGGAAGCAATGCTCCCTGAAGATCTGACAATGAATTTTAAAGCTGTTTAATCATTTATTTATTTATTATTGTTTATCTATGTATGCTATTGAAACACTTTCTGTTCAATTTCTCTTAGGATAACATAAAACAGTTCATACAGAGATGCCCATGCATGGGCCGTCAGGCAGCAACTTTAAATGAAGCACTTAGTAATGTAGTGACTTTGTGAGTGTCTTCAGCTGACAGGGGGAAGACAAAATAAATCTGTTCCCTTCTTTTACAAGAACGTCTAGCTAATTATGCAAATACACATACTCTAGCCCATTGTAATAGGCAGCATTTCCTGATAACTTAGAGGACTAATCCTCTGATATGCTTATTTCTCTCAATATAGTTTTCTTTAAGTATTCAGAATACACTCTCTCTTGAATTTTATAGTGTGTTATTATGTCTAAAGTGTTTACTGTTTTTTAAAGGAATTGCCATTTTACATTTCAGGAATATACAATAGATGTTTTCTTTCGACAAAAATGGAAAGACGAACGTTTAAAATTTAAAGGTCCTATGAATATCCTTCGACTTAACAACTTAATGGCTAGCAAAATCTGGACTCCAGATACTTTCTTTCACAATGGAAAAAAGTCAGTGGCTCATAATATGACAATGCCAAACAAGCTTCTTCGAATCCAGGATGATGGAACACTTCTATACACCATGAGGTATGTTGCTGTGATATGCTACAAATAACTCTGTGAAACTGTGCATTCAACAACTAAGCAAAGTATGGTTAATACTAGCAAAAGTGCAACACTTTCCTAAAATTACGTTTTTCATATAAGTTTGGGCATATAAGTAATTACAAAGAGTTTAATTTTTAAGTTTAAAATTCTTCTTGTTATTAAAAATTAAAATTTGGGATTTTTCACATAACATTTTAATTAAAAACACTTTAGTATATGAGTAGTAATTTGTTTGCAGAAGCATGTAATTTGCCATTCTATATCCCATCTTGTAGCCTATCCAATTTTAAATAATTTTCATTTACATATTTAAATCTGTATTATGTTCTTTTATAGATAAAAATCCATAGTTTTTATGTATTAAGTGATTGGTTAAATAAAATCATGTATTAGGCTTAACCATATAAAATTACTATTTTATGTTTTAAATGATCATGTAACATCAATTTCATGCAGTTCCTCTTTTCTTGGAAATAGAGAAATATGTGTAGTTGTTGATCATTTTGATTCCCTTTCAAGTATTTTGATGAATATTTTAAAATAAAACTTATGATATGAGAACTAAATATTATAAACCTAGTAAAGTGATGTAGATTCTAAAGTTAATGCTTAATGAAGGATCTGAAGAACCAAATGCTGCTATTACTGCTGTTTGCACACAAGCATCATGCTCCATGCTTTTGATGTCTTCTAACATTAAGTGAAAAGTTAAGTACTAGACTTTAGTGATTAAAGATGTTCTCTGTTGTGCCTGGTGGAAACAGAAGACACAGGAATTGAGGACTGATTTCTAGATGACCATTTCCTGCAATGGGAGTGCTGGTTTATTCTCTTTCCTGTTTCTGAATACTGCAATACGTAGATGTTACAGTCTTTATGACCATTTAGTCATAAAGATCAAATTGCAGAGATTATATAATGTTAAAGATTGCTACAGAGGATTTGATTTAAATACAGTGTGACTTCTATGCCACAGTTGGCTGATGACCACCTTTTGCTCAGCTTAGTTAGAACAGCCTTTTCTTTGAGTTCAGATTAATTCTTGTTTATTTACTTTGCTTTTATGTGAAAAGGAAATAATTACAAGTGTTTTTCATAATGTATTTTCTATTATTATTCTTTGCAATGATCTATATTATATTAAGACATAGAAACTATGTTTTTAATATTCCTGGACTTGTATTTATAATTCTGCCAGGAATTACTATGAACACTGTATTTTTAACTGAAACATCTATCCATATTTTATCTATTTCTCAATACATATCTACCTATGTAAGCATAAGATACTTATCAAAAAATGTCATGCCTTTAAGGAACCATATACTGAAGTATTACATCAGCTTTTTTCTATAGTTGATATCATGAGAAAAAAGATACCCTTTACATAATAGAGCTTTCAGTTTCTTCAGCTATTAAATATTGATAGTGATGTTAATGACAAACCATTTACAAGTATATATGTAACTTATTTTTATTGTGTTTAAACCTCTCCAAATCCAATATAAAGCTCCAATTCTATTAAAAACAATAACAAGTGATTTATCTTAACTAGCAAATCCACTTAAACCAAGAGTGGAATTTTGGCTTCTAGGCTTACAGTTCAAGCTGAATGTCCAATGCACTTGGAGGATTTTCCAATGGATGCACACTCATGCCCACTGAAATTTGGAAGCTGTAAGTATAAGGACAAAAGTATGTTTTGAAACAACAAATCACCAGTAGTCAACATCTCTGCAGGATCATGCAGTTTCTTCTCATATTATGGGATGCTTAATAATTGACCAATAGGATGCAGAAGTGAAAGACATAGTGATTGACCTTAACTAATTAATTGGAATATTCCATGATTCACTCAATTTTATTCATTCTTAGATGAAAACATGATTTTTTTCTACTAAAAACTCTTATGTTTTAGTTTGTGCATAAAATTAAACCAGGGACTGTTGTAGAATCAATACTATACCTTATTCATATTTTTCCACATGTTAAAATGTAATTTTTTTCAGTTTAGAGTGAATTATATATGACAAATTCTACTGCTTGTTTTCTATTTGGCTGTTATAAAGGTCAGAAAAAGAGATAAAGCTCATGCAGTTGTCTGTCTACCATTGACCTGATAGGAGAAGTTCTTTATTTCCTTAAAATTCAGCTAATGAAGATGGCAGCATTGGATGGTTACACATCAGTATCTTCTGTGCAGATAGAAAATCTCTAAAAGTTTCTGTGCCTCTGGCTATTCACTGGGTCACTGAGTTGTATCTTATATGTCAAGCAGAAACATTCACACTACGGACTAATGGAAAGAGGGAAGTCAGACCATCTTTCTGGCCCACAGGACACTCCAGGCAGGATCAGGATTAATTCATCAATGCAACTAAGCAGCCCCCTCTGTCTAAACATGCCTTCTTCCCTGACCATTTTAGAAAGTTTGCTCTTTCTGGCATCCCATCTTTGAACATTCTGAGCAGCTTTAGGCTTTTCTTTTCCTTCGGTTAAACAGAAGTTTCCACTTCTAATCTGATTAGATGTATGGCTGGCTGAAGGAGAAAGAATGTATCTCCTCACAGACTACCAACTCAATGAAAATATAATAGACAATGAAAGAATAGAGTCCTCCATTGCTCTGAGGATGGCAGTTTTGTGGAGAGATTCAAGCTTGTTTGCTTTGTATATCCTTGTAGCAGGTGTCAGTTCTTAATTTTCTCTGAGAGCCTCCTATGGACTTAACCACAAGACTTTCCTTATTGCCATGGAAACCATAACTTCAAAACTGGCATTTCTTCCAATATTATTTAAGATAGTCAGTCATGTTATACAACGTAAACACAGTGTTGAGAAAACCAGAACAGATGCGGCAGGGAAACTTATTTGCATTGCATAAGTGACATTAAAGACAAACTTGAAAAGCTTTGGCACCCAAAAGGATTTATGCAAGATGCAGTAATGATATAAGAAGGACAAGTGTTTTCCATAGATGAGGTATTGTTGCTATGACATCAGATGTCAATGGCAAGATGCGTCAATACTGAAAATGAGATAAATTTATTTGGAAGGGTTTGATTTCCAATTAAAAGCTTCACAGAGTCCATATACAAAGTAATATGCTATGCGGTGCCTGAGATTATGACAGTTTGCTCTATAGAAAATGCATATGTTAAACACACTAAGTTTTTGATCCTAATTCTTTGCATATGCAATTATTACGTTTTTTAAATTTTGCTTTCTTCACATTCATATTCTGACACATAGCGAAGCAGTTTGTTCATTCTCTTATTTATCCTTGTGTATAGCAAGAGCTTGAGGCATCTGTTTTAGCAGTATGGACAGCAGTGTGAAGTGAGGGAACAACCTTAACAAGCTGGCACAGAAAATGTTTGGCAGAAGCAACCATGACATTATCCTGTAGATGCTTCTTCCTGTCTTTTAGAAGTACCACTACTCCAAAGTAATTGCATTTTTGGAACTTTATCATTCTCCTCAAATAACAGAAGCATCTTTTCTGCATTTGTGCAATTGAAAACTCATTATTGTTTTACTCAAATCAACTTACATCTTTATGTTTTTATTGTTTCATTTGACATGAAACTTCCTGAATGTAAGTGTTGTAAAACTCTGTGCAAAGAAACTGAAAACTTAATTTTTTAGGATAAAATTTCATAGTTTAACATGAATTAGGATTATATCTATTGATTACTGAGTTTAAGCCAGTGAATATTCATATGTATAGCGCAGGCTAGCATTCAAACATAGATGACTTGGATAAATTAACGAAAATCACTCTATGATATCAATCCTAGTTTCAAAGTGGGATTTATAAAACAAACTGACTTCTCCTTTTAAACACTTTTTTTAAATTTAGTGTGTGTGTGTGGGGGGGGTAAGTGCAAGTGAGTGCAGATTCTTATATGAGCTGAGATCCAGGATATGGAGTTTCAGAAATTTGTGAGCCCATCCAGCATGGGTGCTGATAATCAAACTGTGGCTTTCTGCGGGAGTAATACCTACTCCTAACTGCTGAGCCATGTCTCCAGCCTGTCTTCTCCACTTATACTTTATTAATAAAGATAGTGTGGGTTTGAGCACAAGGGAGTGGCTCTGAGATACACTGAATTACATTCTGTTTCTTGTTCTCTCACTACTGTAAAAAATATACAAAAACAGACTAATAGAGTAGTTAATGAAATACAGTAATTTGTTTTAATAGACATATAATGGATCAACCACTTGCTATAATGTGTTCATGGACTATATGCCAACTTAATGTAATTTCCAGTTAGCTTAAGCATCAATCTAACAGGAACAAATTGAAAGTACTTACAGGAAAGAATGATACATCCTTTGCCCACCTATATAACATAACTTTTCAAAGAATATCATCACTTTTATACACTCGTTTCTGTTAGTTATGTCTAGTGATAATAAGAAAATTAGAGGAATGTTTGTTTCATATATTTTTGTTTGTTTGTTTTTTTGTTTTTCGATTCAGGGTTTCTCTGTGTAGCTTTGGAGCCTATCATGGCACTCACTCTGTAGACCAGGCTGACCTCGAACTCACAGAGATCTACCTGCCTCTACCTCCCAAGTGCTGGGATTAAAGGTGTGTGCCATGAACGTCAGGCTTGTTTGATATTTTTCATTGTACACCATTGAAAATGCTCTTGTAGAAAGGACCATGATGTTTACTCGGGTGGGAACCAAAACAAGCCACTTGATGAACTGTAAATGAATGCTTAGTTAACTACATTGCTAACTTATTAATGTTTTCAGTGGCATCACAAGTGATCATTTAATTGAAATTAGCTAATGGTAATTAAAACTCTAGAAAAAGTAGATTTCACATGTGCAAATATATGAATATTTCTCTATGAAAGTATGTACAAACACACTGATAAATATGTATGTGTTTCTACACCTATTTTAGAATCCTGTTTCAAAAACTGTTTAATATAATGTAATTTATTTGAGGATGCATAAATGCAAGTATCAATATAAGGAGTATTTCACTGACATTAGTATTAGTAGCCACATTCAGAAAGCTATATAACATTGAATGTCATTAAAAGATCACACAGGTAGCCCATCAGTGGTGGCACATGCCTTTAATTCCAGCACTAGGGAGGCAGAGGCCAGCAGATCTCCATGAGTTTGAGGTCATCCTGGTCTACAAAGTGAGTTCCAGAACAGCCAGGGCTGTTTTTTTGTTTTGTCTCAAACAAAACAAAACAAAACAAAACTGATGGTGGGTTTAAATGAGTCCACCAGACTTAAGCTAAATGATAATTAGGACTTGGGAGGCAGTGGCAGGCAGATCTCTGGGAGTTCGAAGCCATCCTGGTCTCCAGAGCGAGTGCCAGGATAGGTTCCAAAACTACACAGAGAAACCCTGTCTCGAATAACCAAAAAAAAATGATAATTAGGTATTTACTGGGGAAGTGCTTACACAAATAATAGTAAATAACCACTGAGCTCTTCCTGATCCAGAATATGCAGTCTCGCCCTTCTGATGCTCTCACCTCAACCCTAGGGAGCAAACCAGCCTCCTCCTCTAATTTATAAGGGGTCAAGTCTGAATATTTGAAACCATGCCTATAGGGTGTGACTGCCACCACAAGGTCACTGGCAAAGCAAAATCCATGACACAAACAAAAAAACAAAAAAAGGTCATACTGCTCATGAATGATAGATACATATATTAAAATCCACTGTGTTGAACCTGATACTTGAATGAAAATATAATTGGGTCAAGTTCAGGAGTAGACCTACCTTAATACCATGAAGATACGTGCAGAATAATTATACAGAATAGATAAATATAATTTCAAGTATCATGGGGACCTGAAGACATATATTTCTAGAAAAAAGAATGAACCTCTTTCCTCCCTAGTTTAGAATGTCACCATTGTGCTAAGTTTGTTTCCCATGAAACCACATTAAAAAATGTACGAAGTTCTCCAAAGGTTGGCAGTAGAGCAGACATTATGTCTTTCTTGTATGCAATTATGAAGAGACTCTCTGCATAGGGATAGGGATTCTCAACTGTTATAAAACAGCACACGCATGGACAAAGAAAATATCCAAATAGAGAATTGCTAATACCAGATGTGTGACCTCTGCTCAACTATAGAGGCAGCTCATTTCTGATAAGTTCTTCATCTTTGGTAAAATATATTTCCTCTTTCTGTTAACCCTCAACTTAACGGAATGCTATACAACTGTAGTTGATGACACTGGTATTCATTAATTAACTTATAAATGGATATATTTGAAAATGAATCTATAATGTGATGGAATATATAATCTGCTTTATTTATTGTCAACAATCCATTCTCATTTTTCTAATTAAATGACTTCACTGATGATAAAGTCATTATCTATTGACTAAATTATACATAAAACAATGTACTTTTGGATTATATTTTTTATTTCATGGTGGTCATCATTTTAAAATAAACTATGTGAATACCTTCATAGTTTGTTCTCACAATGTCTTTCTCAGCATCTCACAATGTCTTCAGTACTGAGGGCATGTTATGATCATTGTCAATACTGAGGGAACCAGTGATGTTTTAGTAGCTCTAAAGGGAAAGTTGTTCACCACCTCTCAAAGTGCTACCAATAAAAATGCTTACATGTTCATGATTGTTCCTCCTCATCCTTTTCATACCTGTAATTTTAAGTTTATAAATTTAAAACACACATAAATTTTCCTCTATATCTGTGATCATTATTGTTAATTTGTGAGTAGTGTTTCTATTAAATCTACAACGGTAGATCTATCATTCTGGTAGTGTTTCTTATTCAAATATTTACAATGTTTGTTTCATGTTTCTGACAGATGCATACACAACCTCAGAAGTCACTTATATTTGGACTTACAATGCATCTGACTCTGTCCAGGTTGCACCTGATGGGTCCAGGTTAAATCAATATGATTTGCTGGGCCAGTCGATTGGGAAAGAGACAATTAAATCCAGCACAGGTTAGTAATATCTTTTAAATGAATATGTCGTCCCCCCAGATTAGTAGTTTAAAACAATTAAACATGTGTCAGAAATTTGAAAACATTTTACCCTTGAGCTTTATGGACTAACATAACAGCACAAATTTCCTGGGGAGCTTTTCGAGACATTCCTAATTGTAGACAATCCCTTGACTAAAACGGGTTCTGCAACAGGATTCCAAGGAGATTGATATGTGCATGCAAGTTCCAGAAACTGTCTTTCAAAACAAAGTTACTACATACTTAAAAATATCCATCTTCTCAGATCAGTCAACTTTAGCATTTATATTCAAAGTAGTGATAACAATTTTCCTCATTTCCTCATTCTTTTTTTCCTATTGTGGATAATTTATGATTATTCAATCCTTGTTTTCTGTGTAATTGCCACTGGTCTGCATGGACAGCTCCTCTCTTAGGCCATCCTCGGTAAAGAAAAAGGCAGCTGTGTAGACTAATTATTTTACATCTGGCAATAATTAAAACTGTGGGAGGAAAAAAAAAGAAGGTAGGTATGACAATTAGACAAAACTGACAGAAGCAAATTACAGCAGGCACACAGCAAGAGAAAGTCAGAATTGGTGACAGAGTTAAAAGTGAAAAATCTGGTCCAAAAAAGAGCAGTGTTGAAACCAGGAAGGATGGAGTGCAATCAATTACTGTAGCAGCATGAAGGTTGTAGCAGTGGACACAAGGGACACAAGCCAATAAGATAATCCACTAGCAGAATCTTTAGAATCCTGCTGGGGAGTGGGAATGACCTAAAGAGAAAAATGAACACTATGTCATTGGGCATAGCAGTGCAAAGTTGTGGATGTTGTGTTATTCTTTTTAAAATACTCTTGTTCTAATAGGACATTTCTGTTTTTCATAGTTTTCATCAAATGTATGTGATTATTTCTTTCATTTTTTTAAACCAGGAACTTTTCTTCTTCCAATCCCTTCCATTTCCAAGTTGTTCTGACTATTGACAATTACAGTTCCTTAAGCCTCTTACATTCTCCTTCCAGGTGAATATACTGTAATGACAGCTAATTTCCACTTGAAAAGAAAAATTGGGTATTTTGTGATTCAGACCTATCTGCCTTGCATCATGACTGTCATTCTCTCCCAAGTGTCATTCTGGCTTAACAGAGAATCTGTGCCTGCAAGAACTGTGTTTGGTGAGTGAATGCCTGCAGTACAGCACATTTTGTTTCAAAGTGTATTTCCCAAAGTTTCTCTTTCTTGATGCTCGTCACATCCATGTCTTGTGATGTGGAGTGCAGGGAATGTTGGTTCTAGTTTATAGGTGAGAAAATAGAAGTTCTGAACTGTAAACTATAATCATCAGCGCACTTTTGTCAAGGACTTAATTACCCAACTATCTTGGAACAACATTTAGGTATTTATTTTTCTGTTTAATCACTGTTTTTTAGCATTTGTCTCTATGCTAGGAGATGAAGGTGTTTTGTGAGATTTTAATTCAAGGTTGAAGAATGTTATATTTAAAAGCTTTCCATGTTAACATTTTCTTCCTTTTTTTATGAAGAAGAGTGGTGCTAATTCTTTCAATTAGAGAACATGAAAACTATTAAGCTAGACTTTCTTTACTTCCATGGGGACATTTGATTTCTTATTTAAAAACAGTGAAAGGACTTTTCAGTTTTAAATTGGAGAATATCATGATTGTAGACTTTCTATATGTACTTTGGTTTTGTTTTGAAATGCAGAAATGTAATCTATCCATTTTAGATGAGAGAAAGTCATCCATTTGAGTACTGTATTTGCTACCCCTAACTCCTCCCCTTTGTGATGTGTTCTATTGTATAATGGAAGCTGCCTTTATTCTTGTTAAGGCTTAGCTTCAAGGCACACATAGCCAGGTCCAATTAAAATGCTATTTCTTAAAGCAACACAAGAGAATTTGGTAGTATATTTTCTTACATAGAAAAGACTGAACACATTCTATAATAAATAGATTGTCTTTGTGTTTTTGTGCTGTGGTACTCTCATTCACTTATGAATTTGATGTTCAGAATGTGTTTCCATGTCTGCACCAGGAACTGGAAAAGCAAAACACACAAAATATAGCTCCTGCATCAGATAGCTTGTTAGTAGATGGAAGCAGAATAACTGAAGGATAATGGCAATGTGGGATGAAGGCTTTATTGTAGAGGCACTTCCATATTGGTTAACAACTTAAAGGTTATCCTCTTACATTAAGTTCAATGAATAAGATTGTAATTTAATGTTTGAGACTTGTCATTAAAATGAGTGTGAGTGTTGCATGCAGAAAGGATGGGCAAAATCATAGCCAAGGAGAATGGAATGTTCATTATCATTAAAGAGTGAAAGGACATGGTATGTTTGGTGACAACTGTTTTGGTGATGAACAGTGGAGTTACAGATAGAGACATGGTTCAAGGCCTTAATGAGAAGGGAGTTGCTGTTCTTTTGAAAAGAATGAAATCTCAGCTATGGAATAAGCAATCCTGCTCAGTGTTCTGTTGTCATGACATTGTTAAGCCCTAAGAAAAAGGCTTGCTATTTGATAACTCCTGTATATTTTATTTTGAAAACCACTTCATTGAATATTATTAACACATATAAAGCTATTCATATTTAACATATATAATCCAGTCAGTATATACATGAAAATATCATGGTCACTACGTTCCAGCTTTTTCTTATTCTTTTCCATTTTTGTGTTGTTGGAGGCACTAAACATAATTTCCATTTTTTGACATAATTTAATCGTATCACACAGCATTGTTAGTTATAGATATTATGCTGTGTGGTAGGTTTAATAAAAAGTATACTTTTTAAAGTTACTCATTTTGTGATTAATATGATCCTATTTGCATTATAGAAAAATGTGGTGCCTTTGTAGAAGCTGAAATAAAAGAAAAACCCAGAGGCATTGAGTAAGGTTTAGAGAGATACTTATGTAGTCCAATGGAATAAAATGATTTTATTAATAAAGAAGATGAAGGCAATAAGTTAAAAAAGAGGTAGAAAAATGATCCAGGAGTCTGGGTAGATATTCATCAAAACTATAGAAAAAGAAAAATTTAAGATGATATTTAAGGTAACCTTTCATGATTTCTTGAAGTGAATAATATTGTCCTGTTGTTGAATTACAAAAGCAAAATGAACAGAATAAATAAGTTAGAAAGCTTAATGTTGTCTAGGTTATGTAGATTTAGACTTTAAAGTTATTTGTAATATCAGGTTTCAGACCAGTGAGTGAATGGAAGTAGTATATACAACATAAACAGATGACAGGGCCTATTGATAAACATTGGGATCACTGGTTAACGGGTAATGGAATTTATGCATCTAGAGTTTATATAGCAGATAAATTAGTTGGGTGAATGTGGGGCCAGGGGAGAGAATCCTTACGAATTTTAATAGGTGAGATTTAGAGACTTAATATTTGAATAGAACAATGAGAAAATCAAGAGGAAGATACAATTTCAACATCACATAAACAGGTACTTAGATATAGCTAAACACACAATCTTCCACTGAGATCCAGTCTCAGGCATCATAGCAAAAACCTTCTTCCAATTTTATGGGACTGTCCTAGAAAAAGCTAAACCGACACAATATGTACTAAGAAAAGTATGGAAGACACTATTTTGTGTTGGCAACTACTGCTGAGCGTGGACCAGTCCCTGAAATGTGGTTGGTTGATATGTTGCCTTTAGTGCTTCCTTCCTTCCTTCCTTCCTTCCTTCCTTCCTTCCTTTCTTTCTTTCTTTCTTTCTTTCTTTCTTTCTTTCTTTCTTTCTTTCTTTCTTTGATTTTTAGTTTTTAAAAATCATTTCAATTTTTGCATTTTATTTTTTTTTATACAGAGATGGAGTTGGGGAAAAAGATGGGAGGGTACATGAATTTGAGTGGTTTTTGAGGTGTGGAACATCTGGGAACAGATGGGAGAGTAAAAATAATATAAACGAGATGAACTGTTTGAAAATATCAAACAAAATTTTAATAAAGATAAGGAGAGTGGAGAAAAGAATAAGCTGAACAATTTTTGTTTTATAATGTATATGTATCTGTTTAAAAGTTTTGAAGATGAAATTTTAATCAAGATTTGTTTAGAAAACAAACTATAGCTTAAAATTGTTAGCATATGTTTATTTAATTTTTAGTAATATAACATGAAATTATTAATTCTATTTAATTACAAACCTCTGAAATGGTTTACATGAAGAGATTTATAAGTTGGCTGTTTCTCAGACACATACATTGTTCAATATTTTTGTGCATAGTGTGTGAGAAAGCAAATTAGATACAGTATAGTAATGCACTGATGAGTCATTCAAAGGTGCACTAAAGAGTTCAAGAAGGAGCAACCTCCACCTTTCTCTTCTGGTGCTTGGTAAATGCCTACATACCTTATTACACTTAACTTACTGGGTTTTTAGCGTGTCTCACTCATTATCTGGAAAGTAGGTGCACATAGTTACTGTCACACGTCTTGGAGAATATGTTCTACAGGATTATGATAAATGTCTATCAAATAAATGGGAGGTAGTCACATGATCCACAGCAATGGACAATTTCTCAATGTTAAACTCACTGCAAATTTATACACAATTAGAGCAAGGATATATTCTATTCTAAGCATCACAGTAGCTACTGTGAGTACAAAAAAGTGAAGCAAAACCACATAAACTATACATGTCTAAAACTACAAAGAGTGTTTAAAAAGTGAAGGTCTGTTACAGGAACATTTCAGAAATGAAACAACATGATCAAAGAAATTGACAAAGATATAGAAAAATACATGAAATAGTGAAAATGCAGAATAATAAAAGGCACACTGGAAAGAGAGAGAAATCAAAGAAATCAGGACCTGGCAAAAACAGTTATGAACTTTTGTCAAGTGTACATGGAATATTACCCAGTATAGATGATGTTTGAGGCTACAAATCAATTCTTAACATGAATAAAATGATTGCAATCACTCCAAGTACCTTCTTTAAAGTATAACAATAGTATCCGTGACTAAGAACAATACAACTGGAAATACATTGGAATGAAACAAATGCACAAAGAACCAGCTATCCAAATAGTAATCCACTTAGGAAGTAAGATTATGCATGGAGACAAGAATATCCAAATATAGTGTAGTGCAATTTAAACATAATTATAGAATTCATTAAAAGCAATGCTCAGAGGAAAAGTCATAGTAATTGATACCCATATTAACAAAGAAAAAGACTCAAATAAATAAATAATCTGAATTACCATACTTTATTAAAAAATTAAATCAAATGAACAAAATGACAATGAAATCAAGGAAAAGAAACAAGAAGAGTAAAAACAGATAATATAAAGGTATTAGCTTAACTCACCAGAACCAAAAGCTGTTTTCTTTTTAATATCGGCAAAATTGGCATACTACCAGACAAAAGAAAACACAAAGACCAGAAATATAAAATTGGTGTAGACTTTACTATTGACTCACAGAATGTAAACAGACCTTAACAATATTAAATGAAAAGTCTACAACTGCAAATTAAGTAATGTTGATGGGATAAATTTCTAGAAAAATGCAAATTAACTTTAACATCTCAGGAGATTTAAAATAATAAGTTCAATAAGTAATTAGACACATTGAGCAGAAAACTGGCTAGTACCAAATTGACCCCCTGATGAGTTTGCTTAAGCTTTCATGAATTTATCACCAACCATCTTCATGACTGAACAAAGCAACACTGAATTTGAATGCCAGTCATTTCTCAGAATTGAGAAGCAGAGATATTTCTCAGATACGTATTTCCAGCTTTGAAAATTACTGATTAAAAGCAAAAACATGATGTTGCCAGAAATAACAGAAATATTCATGTTAATGATTTCAAAGTAAGGCTGAATGACTTTCAAAGAAAAGATAATAGAGATTTTATGAGAATAAGTGTATATAATGAAAAAGAGAGCTTGGAAAGTAGAAGAGGCACACCAGACATGGTTTAAAAGAAACCTGCACAAAATGCCCATTTATGTAGAGGTGTGGTGAAAACATCGATATGTAACTCCAAATCAGCAAATTTGTCAGTGTTAAGGCTGCCAAATTGACTCTAAAAATCACATATTTTTAAAATTATTTGTGACAAATGGGAAATATAAATTTGAAAAGCAAAACTAGGTGTTGGGGAGAGTTGAAAGTCAA